TCCCACGAACGTCTGCTCAACAGACCGGTCACTTCCGTTCGCTGGTGGTTAGCCAATCGTAGCTTCTCTTCCTATCAATGGAAAGCTGGACTTTGACCGACTTTGACTCCACGATTCAACACGAGCAGTTTATGATATACAACACGTAAAACAGTCGACCGATTAGCGCGTAAACAGCCACATTTGAATCACGTGGTACCAGAACGGACAAAGCAGGAATAAACCTATACATCCAGCTCGAGAGACCTAAGCTCGATCAAATTGATGGAAGAAACATAAGAACGTCTCTAGAGAAACGTGTAACTTTCTCGAAGTAAAGCTACGGCGTCTCAGAAGAAAAACCGGACGACGATAAACATGCATGATAGCCGTGATAAGAATCAACATGCACTTTACTTGCAAATAGTGCTAGTGAAACAGCCGGACCCGGTGCCACAAAACAGAATGCAAGTAAGCAACATGTCACGGAAAATTTCTTATTTTCTATATTTTGCCCCTCGAAAGCAAATATCTCGCAATAGAAATGAGCCCTAAACGGCAGTTAGATAACAGCGGATTGGTTGTTTCAAAACAAATGCTAACGGCCAGCGAACGGAAGTGACCGGTCCGTTGGGCAGACGTTCGTGGGAAGGAACGCGTGACGAGCCCCAAGAGCGTCTGCATGGGAGGCTAGAGTATCGAAGGAGTAGCCGGAAATTTAGAAATACACAAATGCACAACCCGATTTCTCGTGGCAAATTTCCATGTGAGTAGGTACGTTAAAGCAAAGAAGGTATAATGAACGCAAGGCCATAGCCCCTAAAAATATCTCCCGGCTGGGCTAAATTTGCTTCCACCCAAAAAATCTCGATCAATTTCGCCTGTATTATGCCGCACACCCAAAATGTACAAAGGACACCAACACAAAATTAATTAGGATGTGTTCTCCCTTCGCTCAAACGCAAAAAAAAAATAATTTTACTTACTCTTCAAATTCTCACAAGTTTAAGTTCACCATTTTAACATCTACAAAAAGACATGTAGCTCATACTGTGCATTGCATATCTATGGTTTTGTCAAATATTAAAATTGAGATTCTAGCTCTCGTGGTATTTTTTTTTGAGGTTTACGTTAGTGGTGCTAACTTTTTTCCTCCTTATCATCTTCCTCAGGAAGATGCTGAAGGTCTTAAGCAATCAGATGCTTCACCAACTGTAGATGAGTCAGCACCAGCTTCCAACCAGGGCAACAAAACAGAAATTGATCCTTCCATCAGTAATGTGCAACAGAAAAACACGCCAGCTGATCAAGATTTCCAGTTGCGAATTGATGCAACTACTGGTTTAACACTAGATGATGTCATGGAAATGGTTCGAGAGTGTTTACACGGTCTGGAATTAAGTGATGACGTCAAAGCCAAAGAAGTCATTCTATCTGTGTGGGATTTTGCTGGACAAAACCTGTATTACGCGTCGCATTCTGTGTTCCTTTCTCTTAGAGCTGTTTATGTTTTGGTGTATANCACCCAAAAAATCTCGATCAATTTCGCCTGTATTATGCCGCACACCCAAAATGTACACAGCACACCAACAAAAAATTAATTAGGATGTGTTCTCCCATCGCTCAAACGCCAAAAAAAAAAATTAATTTTACCTACTCTTCAAATTCTCACAAGTTTAAGTTCACCATTTTAACATCTACAAAAATACATGTAGCTCATACTGTGCATTGCACGTCTATGGTTTTGTCAAATATTGAAATTGAGATTCTAGCTCTCGTGGTATTTTTATTTTGAGGTTTAAGTTAGTGGTGCTAACTTTTTTCCTCCTTATCATCTTTCTCAGGAAGATGCTGAAGGTCTTGAGCAATCAGATGCTTCACCAACTGTAGATGAGTCAGCACCAGCTTCCAACCAGGGCAACAAAACAGAAATTGATCCTTCCATCAGTAATGTGCAACAGAAAAACACGCCAGCTGATCAAGATTTCCAGTTGCGAATTGATGCAACTACTGGTTTAACACTAGATGATGTCATGGAAATGGTTCGAGAGTGTTTACACGGTCTGGAATTAA